TTCTACCTGTAATTTGAGTTTCTAAAATTTTAATCTTTTACTACATCGAGTTGATCAACTTTGATCATGACTTAAATAAAATAAACATTTGATATTCATATACAGAGTATATTTAAGTGTAACTAAAATAACTATTATATCTATGGTGTTATATTAATCATAAAAAAAAGTTTCGTAGTACAAAGCACATGCTGATATTTTATAAGGATGAAATATTTTAATAAAAATATTATCTCTTCTCTTTATTGATTATCTAAATTTAATTATTTTTAATGTATATATGAATTAAATATTTATTTTAGTGTATATATGAACTAATTATTAAAATATTAAATCAATATTCTTATTTCATAAAAAAATAATCATAAAATAAAAAGTATTATTACATTATAATAAGAATGATTAATCTAATATATGAACTAACTAATTTTATTTCATTAAAAAATAATCATAAAATAAAAAATATTGATTATATTATAATACGAATTATCATTACAATTTTCAAAAGTTATTATAAAGTCAAATCAAATTATTGATTTGAATTTTTAATCAAATCATAATTAATCAGTTCAGATCAAATTCAATTAGACCAGATCAGATCCAATCTGATCAGATCAGAACCACAAAAAATCAGATGAAATCAGAAAAATTAAGTCGGAGCTTTGGTGAGCTATGCTCAGAGCCGTACTTTTTTTTGCAAAACTTTGGCTTTGCTTCTATTGCTCCGTTGACCCGTCCATTTTGATTAGGGGACTGAACTTCAAAGGGGAACGTTTTAAGTGTGTTTTTTAAAGAGTTTTAATGGTGCTAGTCTTTTTGAGCAGTGTTTTTAAACCCGCACCGGATCGGGCAGTTCGTTAGGTCGAATCGCCACCCAGGCACACAATTGGTCCGGTCCAACCCGCCAACAACTCGGAAAAAACCGGGTCGACCCGGAAAACCCGAGACATGTCCTCTCCGCCGGGTCGACCTCCGGTTCAGGTTTAAAATCATTTCTTTTGAGTGAGGGGAATTTGAATAAATAAGATTAATTCTATGTTTGATTCAAGGAATAGAAAATGAGAAGAACAACGTTTTTCTTATTTGGTTAGAGAGAAATAGAAAAGAAAAGTAGAAAGAAAAGAAAATGAAAAGACAAAATGTATTAAGAGGATGCAAAATTAAATTCCTCCCATTTTAGTAAGAATTTGAGGAAAAACTAAATTCCTTGAATCAAACATAGTGTAAATTTGATTCATCTGATGCAATCTTTAGCAATTCGATCCATCCTCCCATGAAATGGAATGTGAGTTAGTATTTAGTTCTAAATTTGTTTGCTTTTTTTTGTTGTTGTTGTGTGCAGTCTTTGATAGCTTTGAAACAAATTCAGGATATACTTCGTATATTACTTTTGATTATTTTTAAAAATTTAAAAACCACACCGTTATCATTTTCAATCCTTTAAATACCTCTTAATTATTCGGTCCCGATCTGAATTTGAACTGACGCAGAGTACACCTCTACTTCCATTAACTTTTTCGTTTCTGAACTTATAGATAGCATATTAGTTGCATGTACTGCTACATTCGCCATTCATGAAGTGTAGACTCAAAACCTCTTTTTTATACGTAACCAAGGCGCTATACTAGTCATTGGGAAAGATTTGGGATTGATTGGACTTAATATATGCAATCAAGTCAAAAGTTGGTTAGCAAGAACACAGCAAAACATCAATGTTTTACTCCCTTCGTCCTACAAATCTTTTCTCTTTTTTTTTTTGTCTCAAAAAAAATATTCTCCTTCCTATCAAAAGTCATTTACCATACTAATTTTTAACATGCCTATCATATCACATTTTTTCAGTATTAATCTACTTTTCACAATTGTTTTTACTCATCACATTCAAGAGCATTTTTGGAAATTCAATACTAAAATACATTTTTTAAAAATCTTTTAAAATCAAAACTAGAAAAGTATTGGGGGACGGAGGGAGTATTTATTAGCTTCACCATCCGTTCATATAATCATACATTGGACACAAGTTTCTCCTCTACAAATGGGTTCACCAAGCCTATACGCCTTGTTAATTCTCTAAGGGGGTGTTTGTTTTTCCGCCAGAAGACCTTCTGACGTCTTTTGTCTGCGTCGCGCAGACGCGCGCAGATGATGGGCTCTGCAGATTGTTTGTTTTTTGGAAGACATTTCACTCAAAAAGGTCTTCCTCGCATCTTCTTCTTAGAGAAGACATTAACCAATGTCTTCTAACATCTTCTAACATCTTCTCCTTTTTTTTCTACTTCTCTTCACAACCACAACCGTTCACCGCCACCGTCCACCACTACCACCGTCCACCATCACCGTCACCGTCCATCACCATCGTCGTCCACCACCACCGCCACCATCCACCGCCACCACCACCACCACCGTCCACCACCACCGCCGTCAACGTCCACCACCACCCTCCACCACCACCACAATCGTCTATACACCACCACCGTACACTACCACCATTAATTTATATAGCAGTCTACAGACATTAAAAAAACAAACAGTCTTCTTCTTGCAGACCGCAGACCTTCGGTCCACCACTTCTCCTGCAGATGTCTACAGTAGTGGTCCGCAGACCTTTTCCTGCAGAAAAAACAAACACCCCCTAAGTCTCTTACTCGCCCATAGAAATTTGTGATGGGCTTGAACGCCAACTATTTGTGGCTAAGAAGAGGAGACGATCGAGCACATTTTAGGCTTGTTGTCTAAAATAGCACTGTACTGGGCTTCCATATAAAAAACTTTGTAACTTTGCAAACAAACCCATACGTGGGGCTGGATCCGACGGGCTTTTTTTAACAAACGGGCCCAATCCAGTGTCGTAATTTTGAAAAACGAATTTTTTTGTTTTTGTTATAGGCGTGCCTCTTGATTACAATTTACAATGTTGGGTTCACACCTAGAGACGATAAATCCGTTAGTAGTTAGAACATCTCCAACCATGTTAAAATGACTTGGTATATGCTATAATTTGACAAATTAAGTAAAATTTCACACTCCAAGGTGCTTGCTAATGTTTGACAAGTTTGCTTAAAAATAAAAATGGCTTGCTTCTAATAACAAACTTGATAAAATATAGCAAGCCAAAAAGAAAAAGAAAAATGTTGGTTGGGTTAGTTTTTTCATGTGCCATGACGCATTTGTTTCCTCACTTTCAGTACCACAACGCAAGAAAAATTAATAAATATTATTTTATGTTTTTTGCAAAGAAAATAATTTTATTTTTTACCAAAAAAATTATAAAATTTATTTTATTTTAAGTTTAAATTGCATACTTGTAGAATATTAATTAATTTTTATAATAAAATTTTAAAATTATAATAAATAGTGTACTCTAATAGTGAAATCAATACATTTTTGCTAAATTATAGCAAGCAAAGATTGGAGATGATCATGTAAAATGACTTACTATACCACTATTCACATGTTAATAAATAACTTTAGCTAGTCATGTTTAGCAAACGTGATTGGAGATGCTCTTAGAGCATCTTTAAGGAAGAGGAAAGGTTTGAGTCTTTGAGAAATGATGATGTAAAAAGAGGAAATGTTTTTATAGTCTAAGAGCAACTCCAAAGCATAGTGAAAAAAAGTGGTAGTGTAAATGTTATTTTACACTGTCAAAAGTGTTTCACACTTTCACTTTTTATATTTACTCCAATCATATCTTCTATATAATACACTTTTATAATATTTAATATTTATTTCATAACTTAATATGTAATTTACAAATTAAATCCGAAGTTGCATATCAAAATGAAATTCTAGTTGGCTACACCTAAATGAAAAAAAGACAGCTCCATAATTTTTTAATTGTTTTACGCTATCCACATCAATGTGTATTAATAGGAGGTGAGAATGGCTTTTTGCACTATAGTGCATTTTAGCCTTACATTTACACAATCCGTTGCGGACAGATTCCTGCTACAGACATCGAAGAAGGGAGAATGTTGACATGTGTTGGAGTCATGCACGACTAGTTTAGAGAAGAAGTAGAAGAAACGTGGTGCTGCTCCCGTAGGTGCCCGTTGACCCAAGATCTCTCGACTTAGCATAATGTTGAGGTGACAACATGTTCTACCATCAAGAAGTGGCAGTGATGGATCCGGAGACAGACACAAGAGCATGGCGGATGGTTATTCGAGGAACAAGTTAGAGTGAGGCCTCCGTTTCTAGATAAACCACCAGCAACGGAGGCGTCGGAAGCAGAAAGTGTTAGGTCGCCAAGAGCTAAGACTCCGATACCATGTAAAATAATAAATAACGCTTTATTTATTAAATGAATAAGAGAAGAATAAAAAATATGTATTTATATGCAAATGGTTAATTTTACCTGACACTCTACCCGTTGTTCTCGGCCACCGACATTTTAACAACTCATAATAAGTTTTAGATTCTAACGCAACACGCCCCTCGCGTGAAAACAGGATTTTTATTTTTTTTGCTTAAACCTTGCACATGAAAATTATTATTATTTTTATAAATTTGAGTAACTGTGAGGTTTGAACTCGTGACCTTTTGGTTATTAAAGCACTTATAATGTCAAGGAACGAGCTCAACCAAAACCTCAACCTTCGTTGAGAGTGGGGTGTGACAGTTGGCAATGACGGTGTGAACTTCATTTAAGTTACAAAAGAATATATATTATTTCATATTTTCAATATCTTCTGTTCGTATTTATGAAGTTCTCCCTAAAAAGACTAACTTTATGAGAAGAGCAAAGTTCACCCCAATTTATGTAGAGTAAGAAAATTCTTCAATGGAATTGCATGAGAAGCATGCAATGCATACTCTTTCTTTACCTGATCGACCTCTTGTGGTCGATCGGTCTTGTGCATTTAAAGATCTTATTAGCTCCCAAATATAATTATTGGAGTAAATATTACTACTACATGCAACTTCTATATATCTATCACCTAATTTAATAAGTAAAATTTGCACTAAATAGGACTAAAACATAATGACTTTCCCAATGTAGGACTTAAACTTTTTTATTCTCTAAATAGGACTTAATAATGACCTAGTGAAAAGAATAATGTCCAGTAATGATGGACATTTACTTGAATAATGACTACTTGTTAATGACCAAAAGTCCTACATTGGGAAATAAAAACATATGGTCCTATATTAAGAAAGTAATTATGTTTTAATTCTATTTAGGTAAATTTCTCATAACGTTACGTTGATATTATGATCATCAATGATTAAACTTAATTAATTATCAGTGTCCATAATGGTACAGTAATTTGTTCCCAACGCCGCCGCGGGAGAAATTGGAGCAGAGAGCCAACGGGGGCGCCCAAACACGGCGCCGTAGAAAGGTGATGAGGCGGCGGCGTGAATATTGGGGTGATGGTGATCTGGTGAGAACATAATGCGGCGGAGGAAATAAGAAGAGGAGGAGGAGGAGGAAGAGGTTTTGTTCTTGCGGCGGCCGGAACCGACGGGGACGTTCCTCGTGGTCCCTCCGGCGGTCCAGTATCTCTGGCAGTTCTTGCAGAAGTGACGTGGCTGGTTGACGTTGTAGTTGTTGTAGTAGCAAAACTTGGTGACCCTGCTTTTGCACCGCGGGCATGGAAGCCTGGCCCCCACCCCCGGCGCCTTCCTTTTATCACACGGCGGCGTTTCTTTCCCTTCGCCGCCCTCCTCCTCCTCCTCCTGACTCCCCCAAACTTCTTCTGCTGACGACGTGTTCTGAGGTATAATATCAATATTTCAAAAGAGGAAATCAGAAAAGCAAATAATATAATATAGAAATAAAACTTGTTGTGTATGTATAAATTAAAAAGAAAGATAAACGTACCTCGTCGTCGTCTCGGGGGGGTAGAGCGATGGTCTTCCCGAAGAGCTTGATCGCCGCCGCCGGATCTTTATTAGCTACCGACATTCCGGCAAGTATTTCCGAGCTGGCCTTTTGTTTCTTTTTATTACTACTCCGTATATGAGAACAGCATAACACTTTTTTGTGGCTTTTATTTCTCTCTCTCTCTGTCTGCGGTCTTTAAGGGAGGGAGGGAGGAAGAAAGAAGTGGACATGTCAGCAAAAGGGAAAAGTTTTGTGGCCACAAGTTTTGTTTGTGGCGCCGACGTCATTTCGTTGGTTGCGAGCATTTGGGATTCCCAGCAACTCGCACCAAGTTGCTGCGTCCATGGTATTGGGCAAATAAGAATTGGATTTGAATTTAAATTTTATGGAATTGAATTTTTCATTAATTTCTGGTACCATTAATTCTTAATTAATATATTTTGTGCTATCAAATATCAGAATTATAAATATTGTTTCTAATTTTAATTTTCATAATTTGAATCCTATGTACCAAACATATGGGAGGTGTTTTGGCCAACATTATTCTATGTGCCCATCTCAATATTATTTGCCCCCTACCTAAATCCTCCAAACAAGTGCTCATCCAATCCTTTCTAATTCCACTATTTGATTCATAATTAACATCATCTTTAGTAGATGTAATATTCCTTTCGCAAAATAAATTTTCATACCCTATATACTGAGGGCTAACTATTATCCTCTTTGTTTCGTTATTTTTGTTACAAATATGATTTATTCATATAATCGCGTCTGAAATGAGAACTTAGAGGGTGTTTGAGAGTAATTAACTTGTGGATAAAGTGATTTGCACAAAAGCTGAAAACAAAAGTAGCTCATACATGCTTCTCCGAAACAGTGTTCTATGTACAAATTAGTGGTGATGAAAAACAGAAGCTGACATGCTAAACAGAGTCAAATCACTTTCACTCAAAGCAGAAACTAAATTATTAAAAGCAGCGCACTGCCAAACACCATCTTACTCTCCGAATGGAAGTTGATGGGTGTATTCCACCCACGACCGGTCAAAGGAGAAGACCAATTAGTTGACCGGTCAATCTCGAAAGTTTTGAAAGGGAGACTTAAATCGTCAGCAAAACGATATATCATCGGCCATAAGATGACCGGTATACTTCATGAAAAGTATACCGGTCAAACTACGTTGTCATCCTATTTATTCCAGATTTCGATGAATTCATCCCTCGGAGATTACCCGGTGTAGTTTCTAGGGTTGAAAAGTGTCGGCAGAAGAGAATCTACGAGCGCTTGGCGTGTAGCGACCCATGTCAGTAGAGGACAACTGGAGATGCTGAAGAATCCATCCAAGGCACTACTCGACAAAGGGAATAATCCCCCTCACAAGGCGACAAGGCAGCTTAAGGACGAAACCAGTCACCTCGCACCACATCAGCATTGTGCCCCCACGTGGGCGCACGTGGTCCTGTCCCCTTAGCCTAGTATAAATACTCATATAAACCTCAGAAAGAGGGATCCGAATTCATTCTCTCTAAACTCCCTTGTAAAAGCACCCGTGCATTCTCCGTTATAATATAAATTGGGCTACAGGTGTTCCACCTAAAGTCCTACCGGTCAATCTACGAGTTTTTACCTTTCTTACTTTGCCAAATCAAGTAAACTATTCTAGACCCGGTCTAGTATAGTTTGACCGGTCAAGTAATTTACACCATCATTTTTGGCGCCACCCGTGGGACCGTTAAGGTTTCTTCTCCTAAACACAAACCTACCCACCAAAACACCACTCGAAATGTATTCCAGCCAACAAATTAACGCTACTTCCGCTCAGGTGCAAGCCACCAATGAGGGTGCCAGCATCCCTGTGGCTGCTACCATACCGGTCATTTCAGCCCCGGTGTTGCCTCTGGGTCTGAGCTCTGTCCCGACGGCCAGCGTGATAAGCCCCTTCGCGACCGCATCCCTTCCGCTCGACCGAGGGTCACATTCCCACCAAGCATGACTCAGTTCATGAATGACCCAGCCAACCTACAAGCCATCCAGGGCTTCGGACAGGTCATGACCATGTGCCAGCAGAATGGGGGGATGCCTTTCCTCCCTGGTATGTTCCCGTTCGCTCTTCCAGGCGCGGGAACCATGCCCCTACAAGCCCCGATGGCGGTGACGTCGTTCCAGACGCCGGTGCTGCAGCCATCACCTTTCCAGCCCCAGCTGGTCAGCACCATGGCCCCTGTCAACTTGGCCGGTGCACTTAACGCTGCAGGGCCGTCGCGTCCCCCGCAAGCTACGGATCCGCAGGTCACTCCTGACGGTCATTGCGTCTCGATTGAGAGCGATGACGACGAGTGGGACATCCCGAGGGCCCACAAGAAGAAGAAAGGAAAAAACATCCGGCCAGCGACCTCCCGAAACTCCGCCTTCGAAAGGCTAGGGGATAGGGAGGAAGGCCAGAGGAAGTCAGCCAAGCAGAGGCTGGGGCAGAGTGTTGCCCATGTCAGCGCGTTCGCCCGGCTAGGCGAGGTGCGGGAGGTCGAGCCTGCCCGCACCCGGCGCTCCCGGTCTAACCGGCAGGAGCCAGCGAGGACGAGGGCCTCCCACCAAGAAGGGGAGGCAGAGAGCCAGCCCAGGTTACCAGTGGCGAACCGGTTAACCATCCCAAACGACCGCATCCAGCAGATGGAGGCAAAGCTGGAAAGACTGGAAAAGAAGGTCGGGGAGAGGAATGACCGGGACAAACCCCTGGCAGGGTCCCCGTTCACCACAAGGGTCCATCTGACACCTTTCCGGCGAAAGGTCAAGATTGACGCCCCCAGATTCACCGGGAAGGAAGATCCGGAAATCCATCTGGACTCCTTCAACCAGAGTGCGACCATGAACGGTTGCACCGATGAAGAAAAGTGCCTACTTTTCTTCCAGACCTTGCGGAACCAAGCCACTGAATGGTTCAATAAGCTTCGCCCGGGAAGCATTGACTCGTTCCGTGATTTGGCCTCAAAATTCAAGGCCAAATTCCAGGAGAATTGTACTAAGAGGAAGAAGTTCACCTATCTTAGTACAGCCGGGCAGAGGGAGTCTGAGAACCTCACTCAGTTCTTTACCCGGTGGAAGGAAGAGGTTGACAAGGTGGAAGAGATGGATGACAAGACCGTCCTATCCCTCCTCTTGAATGGCTTGCGTGTTGGAGAACTATACAAGGAGTTCTGCCGGAAACCCCCAGCCACGTACCAAGAGGCCTACCATACTGCATGGAAGTTTGTTGAAGCTGAAACCCAGCTCCGGGCAAAGAGAGAAGCTGAGCATGGTCACAAGCCCAAGTCGGTGCAAGTCAAGAAGGAAGAAGCACCGGGACCTAGTCGGCCGAGGCACCACTATGACCCGGTCATCCGAGTGGTCAATACAGAAGAATGCCAAGACGTCCAGAAGGCACCGGTCATCCCTCTAGAAAACCCTACCGGTCAAGTAGGGCGGCAGTGGTCGGGCACCTATTGTTCATACCACAGGTCAGATTCCCATAACACCTCCGAATGTAAGAGTGTTAAGGGAGTAATCCGGCAGATGATAGACAGTGGAGAGCTGGGCAAGGATTACTTGCAGAAAGCCCAGGAGAAGAGTCATCAATGGGTTAGGCCAGCTGCCCCGGGAGATGGCCGGGACAACGACCGGCGGAGGAATAACCGGCCAAGGGAGCGGCAACCTGCTCCCGGAAAAGAGCACATCGGCATGATCTTCGGCGGACCCGAAGGTGGAGATTCAGCCACGCAGCGGAAGAACTGGGTTCGGAGCATTTACGTTGGAGAGGTAAGTGCTGAACCGCCCAGGCGTAAACATACTAGGAGGGAGCCTATCGTCTTCACTGACCGGGATCTCCCTCCTACTGGTGAAGATCACAATGATCCATTGGTCATCACCATGGACATTAATGGGGTGGATGTCGCCCGGGTACTTGTTGACACCGGCAGCAGTGTCAACATCTTATACCTCGAGACCTTCCAAAAACTCAGGTTGTGTCGAACACAACTTGAACCCCTCAAAACCCCTCTCTCAGGCTTCACGTGGGACACCGTTGAAGTTGAAGGATCCATAGTTCTACCGGTCGAACTAGGATCAGGTGAAAAGACCGTGTGGAAGAAGATGCGGTTCATAGTTGTAGACATCAAATGCGTCCACAACGCAATTCTTGGAAGGCCAGGCATCAACAGAGTCGGGGCGGTGATTTCCATGCCTCATCTATGCATGAAGTTCCACACTCCAGGCGGTGTGGGTGAGGTGAGGGGCGACCAGAGATCACAAAGGGAGAGACCTGGGCAGTCAAGAAAATGTCCAAGGGGGTCAATGTCATCTCCCAAGAGATCACAAAGGGAGAGACCCGGGAGAAACTGGAGCCCGAGACTGAGACGATGGAAATCGAACTTCACCCGGGTGATTCTTCGAGGATGGTCAGAATTGGAGCAAATCTCCCCGAGGATCTCAAAGCACAGATTACGCGGGTCCTCCAAGAATACGCGGGCATATTCGCAAGGAGCGTGGCGGATATGCCCAGGATAGATCGCTCTGTTATCTGCCACCGGTTGGCCGTGAGGGAGGGAAGTCGACCGGTACGACAGAAGAAGCGGTACCTGGCCAATGACCGGCAAGAGTTTGTCAAGAAGGAAGTGAAGGACCTCCTCAGTGTTGGTCACATCCGGGAAGTCAAATACCCGGATTGGTTGGCCAACGTTGTCCTTGCTCCCAAGGGCGACACATGGAGAATGTGTGTGGAATATACGGACTTGAACAAGGCTTGTCCGATGGATTCATACCCCCTTCCCAGTCCAGATCAAATGGTGGACGAAACTGCGGGGTGCGAACTCCTAAGTTTCATGGATGCCTTCAAGGGTTACCACCAAATTTACATGGCCAAGGAAGATGAAGAGAAGACGTCATTCCTCACACCCGAAGGAACCTACTGCTATCGGGTAATGGCGTTTGGCTTGAAGAACTCGTGGGCAACCTACTAGCGCATGGTGAACAAACTCTTCAAGCCACTACTGGGAAAGACCATGGAGGCATACGTCGACGACATGCTGATCAAAATCCAGGTATCTCTGAACCACCCGGCTGATATGCGAGCCACGTTCGATATCATGGCAAGGTACAACCTCCGGCTGAATCCTAAGAAATGCGTCTTCGCGGTTCGTACCGGGAAGTTCTTGGGATTCATGGTGACCAAGAGAGGAATAGAGCCCAACCCAGAAAAAATCCGGGCTATCGCTGAAATGCAAGCCCCCACCTCCGTTAGGGATGTTCAAAAGTTGACCGGTCGTTTAGCGGCCCTCAGCCGGTTCCTTTCCCGGTCAGCTGAGAGATCCTTACCCTTCTTCAAAGTTCTGAAGAAGGCCAACACATTCGCATGGGACGAAGAATGCCGGAGGGCATTCGAGGAGCTGAAAGAGTACCTAGCGTCGGATATTGTATTGTCTAAACCCGAGCCCGGTGAAACTCTGTATCTGTACCTGGGAATTTCCCCAAATGTTGTAAGCTCCGTTTTAATAAGAGATGATGGGGCGCAAAAGCCCATTTATTATGTGAGCAAAGCACTAAACGAGGCCGAGAGTAGATATACGGCGATGGAAAAGACAGCCTATGCGCTTTTCATCTCCGCAAAAAAGTTAACATCCTACTTCCAAGCTCACCCGGTAGAAGTCTTGACTGACCAACCGCTGGGTGCAGTATTGCGAAATTCAACATCCTCCGGGAGGATGGTGAAGTGGGCGATGATGTTAACTCAATTCCACATTGAGTACCGGCCAAGGTCGGCAATTAAGGGACATGCCCTTGCTGACTTCCTAGTAGAAATGACCGGTCTAACTCTAGACTTACCGGTCAACAAGCCCACTGAGCAATGGTGGGAGATGACAGTTGACGGGGCATCCGGTCCTAGGGGATACGGGGGTGGTATCGTGTTCACCACCCCAGAAGGGTTCAAGATCTACCATGCAATCGTCTTCAACTTCAAGCTGACGAACAACGAGGCAAAGTATGAAGCTCTGGCTGGAGGGCTCAGACTTGCCCAAGCCCTGAAAATCAGCCGGGTCAGTATCAAATCTGACTCTAGCCTGATAGTTGGACAGGTGACCGGTAACATGGAAGCAAGGGAAGGACGCATGGCACAATAGAGGGACCTTGTACTCGCCCTGTTGAAAGGCTTCGAAGAGTTCAAGATCGCCCAAATTCCCCGGGCAGATAACGCGGATGCAGACCTTCTCTCCAAATTGACGCAGTATGCACCCGAGCATGTTTCAAAACTTGCCCGGGTAGAGATCCTTGACCGTGCAAGCATCGAAAAATTGGAAGTCGCTGCTATAACGGCCAGAAGCCCATTTGACTGGTCAAACCTGGTCGGGGCGGACGACCATTGGATGTATGATCTGATGGAATATTTGATGGATGGGAGCTTGCCAGAACAAGATGACCGGGCAAGAAAAGTGAAGCTCAGGGCACCCCGATTCCAGGTTCTTGATGGAAAGCTGTATAAAAGGGCGTTTGGGGGGCCACTTCTGAGATGTCTGACCAACCGGGAGGCTGAGCGAGTCATAGCGGAGGTTCACGAAGGCGTATGCGCGGCGCATCAAATGTCCCGTACGCTTTCCCAACGCATCATCTTGTTGGGGTATTACTGGCCAACAATTGTCCGGGATTGTGAAAGGTACGTTCAGAAATGCAGGACGTGCCAAGTATTCTACAAGTATCCTGGTAGACCGACGACCTACTACCATATCGTATCGAATGTCATCCCATTTGCTAGATTCGGTGTTGATATCATTGGAGCCTTTCCAATCGCCCAAGGAGGGAAGAAGTTCGTAATCGTAGCCATCGATTACTTCACCAAGTGGATCGAGGCCGAAGCATTGGCCAACATTACCACGCAACAATGCAAGAAATTCATTTGGAAGAACATCATCACGAGATTTGGAGCACCCATGAACCTCATCACCGACAACGGTCCACAATTCCGGAATCCGAGGTTCACCGAATACTTGGAGGGCTTCGGAATCAAGCATAATCGCTCCTCGGTAGTGTACCCCCAAGGGAATGGCCAAGTCGAAAACGCCAACAGAACTATTGTGGATGGTTTGAAGAAACGGCTGGGAGAGGCAGGAAACAAGTGGCTGGAAGAGCTCCCACACATCGTATGGGCATTCCGAGTAACACCCAAGAGGGCTCACGGGGAAACTCCATTCTCCCTAACCTATGGATGTGAAGCAAGGCTGCCCATCGAGGCTGAATTTCCCACGTTTCGGGAGTCAAATTATCAACCCCAGCAGAATGAGGAAGATCACTTGGCTGAACTCAACTTGGTCGAAGAGCGGAGAATGGCCGCGGAAGTTAAAATGAGTACATACCAACAAGTTGTGAAGAAGTACCATGACAACAAGGTTGGGCCGCGGTACTTCCAAGTTGGAGATGAAGTCCTACGAAGAAGAGAAGCAAGTAGACCCGGCGATGGAGGAAAGCTGGCAAAAAACTGGGAAGGCCCATACAGGGTTAGAGCCATCATTCGACCGGGAACGTATCGGTTAGAAACTTTAGATGGTGTACCGGTAGAAAGAACTTGGAATTCCCACCATCTTCGCAAGTTCTACAAATGATTGTAATACTAGGCGAGGCCTAACTACATTATCAATCAAAGTGATGTTCAATACTCTACTTGGTAGTGGCAGAATTGATAGGTCGAACCTATCCTAGGAGGGTTTCCTGGGTAGATCGAATCCACTTGGATAAGCCAACTGAGACACAGGCCCGGACCTGGTACGCTGGTTACTACACCGGTCTTGCTCAGTATAATAGAAAAAATATTAAAACCCAGAAGAGGGGCCCGGAAGAGGGTATGCCTGCAAGAGGGCTGGACCTGGAAGAAGGTTCGAACCGTACTTACACGGGCCCATGAGGTTTGACTAGTGTCGGGAATCAGCCGGCACCGTCAAATTGATTGGAGACTGAAAGATGCCCATTAAAAGAAATAGAAGGGGATCGTCCACCGTGGTGTATCCTGTTTCCCCCTTTTCAGGGAAGACTTGAACGGGAGGGTGAGCTAAGGCCTTCCCGGGATGGTAGAAATCAAAGGCCATTAAAAGACTTAATCACCCGGAAGAGGGGGCCCTGGAAGAAGGGTGCATTTGAACCTTGGAGAGGGTTCGAAACCATTCGACATGGTTAAATCTCCAGTATTCTTACCGGTTAAGGATACTTCAAGAATTACTAGGTTACAGGTGTTTCCATCTACAACCTACTGGTCAAGTAAAAAAAAAAGAATACCCCGGTCGGGTATGGGCATAGCAGAACTTTGAAAGTTCTACATCCATCGGAAGGCAAGGCAGTTGACCGGTCAAACCATGAAGTGGGAATTCACCGGTCAAAGTAAACTTTACCAAAGAATTTGTGAAGCTATCCAAAAAGCAAAAGTAAAGTTCGGCCGGTCAAACTTTTTAAGGTGGCCAAAATGATGAAGACATTCGAAAAGCAAAAATTGAAGTTTAACCAGTCGAAGTTACTCGAGTTAATTCTTCAGATAAAGTGATCAAAGAGAACTTTGAAGTTCTCCCGGTCAGAAACAATTGAGAAGTGGTCTGATTGGGCTACCGGTCAGAATTTGTAAGAAGTAAGAGCAAAGTATAAATCAACAAGCAAGCAGATATGGAAGATTAACCGGTATGGAAAACAAATATGGCATTTAAATTTAAAAATGTCAAATGTTTACAAGTACGCCGGGCATACCCGGGGAAATCTCTGTTAAAAGTTTTACAAAGGATAACCGGGTGAAGCCGGGGATATCAGTCAAGGGGGAAGGGGGGAGTCGGCTCTTCTTCCGGGATTGAGGCCAGGCCGTAGGATGCAGCGGTGAAGTCCGGATCTCTTCTAAGCAGTACCTGGTGAGAGGCGATCCGATCATTCTTTTGACCGCTCTTGAATCCAAAGGATCCAATCGCGGTAATCATCTTCCTTCCTTCAGGCTCCCGGTATAGAAGCCTGAAGGACTCCATCGTGGTCTCAGGAGTCGCCGTCATCACCCGGGCAGCTTCAGCTTTGTTCTCTTCCACCCAGGCAGCTGCACGCCCGGGGAAGGTTTCTTCCTTCTCCGCCATCTCCCTCTTGGCTTCAAACACCTCGTCCATCAGCCGGCCATTTTCTTCCTGGAGGTGAGAGATCTCCGCCCTCATCGACCCGGTCAACCCGGATAGCCTGGTCAGCTCGTCAGCTTGGCTCCTCAGGATAAGAGCCATCTCCTCCTTCTCCTTCTTCAGCCGGGCAAGCTCCGAAGAAGAGCCCAAACCAAGCCGGTCAGCTGAGAGGCGTCCGATCTCCCCCGCCTGCGCAAAAGGAAAAATAGCCCGGTAAGATTCTCGTCAAGGGAAAAAGAAGATCAAGACCGGGGTAGCAACAGGACTAACCTCCTTCAGCCTCAGGCCCAGATTGATGAAGGCCTCCTCAATAGACTTGCCGGCCGGCTCTGAGTCCCCCCTTTGCCTCTTCTTGGCGAAGGAAGGGTGTGTGGTGGCAACCTTTTTTATCCGCCGGCCGGTTTTCTCTTTGCCCTTCCCTTTTGACCGGTCATCCTCCGGCTCGTCCAAATCATGGATTTCCACGGTCTCTGGTTGGACCTTGAAAGTTTTCGCAGCACCGGCCTGAGAACCACCGGTCTCTCCCTCTGGCTGATCTTCGGGCATGGCAAATTCTTCGAACTCCATATCTGCAAGAATAGCTAAAACCATTAAGTACAAGCAATGATACCGGTCAAAGCGCAAATCACGAGAGTGATAAGTACCTGGGTGGTTCTGGCCCTTAGCCTCTGCAGTGTTGCCCGGGGAGGGTACCCCGCGCCCCGCTGCTTCATGGGCCTGGGAGGTACCCTCACCACCCGATTCGACCCTCCAAACCCAGCTGCCGTAGTGGAAGACCCTCCCGGTGTATGGATCGCCACGCATAAGGACTTCAAGACTTGCTTCCAAGTCAGGGGAAGAAGCCGGTGCAGCGTACTCTTGGTCGAGGAGGTGGTCGTTCCATTTCAGACCGGCCAAAGGGGTGAAGAAGGCGGAAAACTCAATGAAAAAAAATTTTCCTTCCATCCCCGGTTACTCTGGGGGACTTCGGAAATGAACTTCTTACCGGTACGGGCTTTGAAGAATACAAAACCTTCGCAGCCAGATCCACCCGGTAGGACTTCAAAACAAAAAAGGAAGAGACGCAGGGAGGGAAAGATTTTCAGATGGGTACAAATATTTACAAAGGAATGGAGATACCGGTGGGCGTTAGGAGTTATTTGGCCAGGCAAAATCCTGAACGCGTGGCATACTTCGGTTAGGAGGGGGCGAAGGGGAAAAACTATGCCTGCATCCAGGGAAATGGTGTGGAACCCTATCCTATCCTCCTAGGTGGGGTTCAACGATATTGGGCCAGTTAGGTTCATACAGGAGGGTATACCCATCCGGGAGCCTCCTACGGATTTTGTTTAAGGCAATTTTGGATACACGGGAAGGTATGTCAAGGACGTAGAAAGTGGGAAGCGGAAAGTAACTGGCAGCATGAAGCCGCTCCTCCCACGCATCCCGGGTTTCATGTTCAGGGTCATAGGGGCCCGGTTCGTCATCGACCGGGTCATCCCTCCCCACGAAAGTTTCACCGGGCATCTGATTAACAGGATGCGGGTCGGGAATAGAGGAGTGGGGAACCTGACCGGACGTGGATTCATGAGAAAAAGACCCGGTCGAGGAAGATGAGTTGGAGTCCTCAGAGGAGCTGTCCTCTGAGGACGAGATCCTATCGCTAAACGAAGACATGGCCGGGAGAGAAAAAAGAGAAGGAAGGGGGAACTTACTTGACTCGGAGGGCTGGATAGCGAAAGAGAAAGAACTTTACCGGTGAAAGCTCTGAGACTTGATCGCGGAAAGTGAACGAAGAAGAGGGGTGGAGGCCTTTATATAGGAAGAGGAGGGCTGAAAGGAGCGACGTGGCCTCTTCAGGTTGTGCCGCGTCAGGCGGCGCAATGATGACCCAGTGGCAGGCGAAACGACGGGTCTGTAGCCGACTGATTGCAACGGTTGATGCGCGACACGTGGCAAAGATCAGAATTCGAAATTCAAAATATCAAAAGTTTTAGGCGGGAAAAGCCAAAAATTTCAAAATTGGAGTCCTATTTCAGACTTTTTACTTCCCGCTCATGACAAATTGCATAACCGGGAAGTGGAGGGCTTATTGATGGGTGTATTCCACCCACGACCGGTCAAAGAAGAAGACCAATTAGTTGACCGGTCAATCTCGAAAGTTTTGAAAGGGAGACTTAAATCGTCAGCAAAACGATATATCATTGGCCATAAGATGACCGGTATACTTCATGAAAAGTATATCGGTCAAACTACGTTGTCATCCTATTTATTCCAGATTTCGATGAATTCATCCCTCGGAGATTACCCGGTGTAGTTTCTAGGGTTGAAAAGTGTCGGCAGAAGAGAATCTACGAGGGCTTGGCGTGTAGCGATCCGTGTCAGTAGAGGACAACTGGAGATGCTGAAGAATCCATCCAAGGCACTACTCGACAAAGGGAATAATCCCCCTCACAAGGCGACAAGGCAGCTTAAGGACGAAACCAGTCACCTCGCACCACATCAGCATCGTGCCCCCACGTGGGCGCACGTGGTCCTGTCCCCTTAGCCTAGTATAAATACTCATATAAACCTCAGAAAGAGGGATCCGAATTCATTCTCTCTAAACTCCCTTGTAAAAGCACCCGTGCATTCTCCGTTATAATATAAATTGGGCTACAGGTGTTCCACCTAAAGTCCTACCGGTCAATCTACGAGTTTTTACCTTTCTTACTTTGCCAAATCAAGTAAACTATTCTAGACCTGGTCTAGTATAGTTTGACCGGTCAAGTAATTTAAACCATCAGAAGTAATATTTGTTTAGTGAAATTTGACTGGTCTAGTATCAAAACAAAATCTCTTTCGTTGAATGTCTTTATTTGACATTGGTAATAAATTTTCATACCTTATTTACACGGATTTAACTATTATACTTCATCCGTTCCATAAAATTCTTTCTCTTTCGTTTTTTTGAATATCCTAAAACACTTCCATTTTCTATAAAAAAACATTTTTACCCTTACTTTTTCATACCCTACCTATCACATCATACTTTTTCACTAATAACTAAATTATCACATCTACTTTTACCCATCACATCAGGAACAAAATTGGATAATCAACCAAAAGTACACTTTTCTTATTTTTGTCCAAAGTCAAAAGTGGAAGAGTTTAAAGGAACAGAGAGAGTATATTCTTTTTGTTTTGTTATTTTTGTTACGAATATAATATGAGGCCGGTTCCCATGACATTGGGAACCAATATCATGGGATGAGTCGAGGATGCTCCGGTGCCCCGTTCGTAAAATTGACGATTTCTACCCCCGGTAAACCCCCCACCCCGCCCCGATCCGAACACGCCCCCTACCTCATTCAATTGCACCCCAAAGTTAATTTTGACTACAATGAGAATATCCATTAACAAGCGCCGCATGCATTATACATTTAGGGTTAGAATGAACTCCGTGACATACTCCCTCCGTCTCCAAATAAACCTCTCTTTTTGACTTTTTGCGGATTTAAGAGAGGGATATTTTTGTGCTGACTTTCCAAAAATACCCTTGATGTGATGTGTAAAAGTAAGATGTGATATGTAGATTATTAGTAAAAAGATATGATGTGATAGGTATGGTAAGAAAAAGTAAGGGGTAAAATGGGTTTTTAAGGAAAAGAAGAAGTTTATTTGGGGACAAAGAAAAAACAAAAGAGGAAGTTTATTTGGGGACGGAGGGAGTATATAATAGGAAGGTTCATGTCTTTAATTGTATTTAAACACGTCCAAACTCCAAAATGATTTTTAAGTTATTACTCTTGAAAATTGTATTACATGAAATACAAGTACGTTTCTATCCCAGGGCAACGAGGCATCATGCTCGCAATTGCCACCTTTTTTTTGTGCATGTGAGCAAATTAAAATGCTCCATCCCCCAAGCTCGGGTAATTTAACCAAATATTACTAAAAAATAATGATTTTCTCAATATAGGATCATGTATTTTTATTTCCTAAGGTAGGATTATTGGTCTTTATTCATTAGTCGTTATTCAAGTAAAATGTCCCCCATTACTGGACACTATTCCTCCCATTAGACCTATTTAGAGAATATAAAAAAGTTTAAGTACTACATTGTGAAATGACTTATGTTTTAGTCATATTTAGTGCAAATTTTTATAGAAATATTTGAACTCAATAACACTAAAACTTAAGTCATTTCCTTAAATAGCACTTAAACTCTTTTATTTCCTAAATAACACATAACTATATCCATAATGTCCAATAATGGCAAACAATTACTTGAGTAATAACTAATGGATAATGACTAAACGTCTTACATTTGAAAAAAAGACATATGTCATGCTATTTAGGGAAAGTCATTATGTTTTAGTGTTATTTACGTAAATTTCCCATTTTTATACTCCCCACTCTCCCTCGATCGCATAACTTTTTTTACTTTTCATTTTTGGACATCCAAAAAAGAATTTTAACTTTGTTTGGCCCCGTTTGGCACCAGCGTTAGAAGTTAGCGTTTTGAAAAAAAATCATCTGACAATATAGCCCGTTTGAGTTTTCAGAATTAAACTACATCATTAAAATTTTATCAAGAACGCTAAGACAAATCGAAAAAGCTATTTTCAAACAAGGTCTTTATGGTCTTTTTTGATAATCAATATGTGAATGCCAATAATTTTCTCTATTCTAAACAAACACTAATCATATTTTTTAAATTATAATTTTAAATTTTGTGAAATCAAACTATCAAAATATTTTTTGGGACGGAGGATGTATATGGACATAGTGGGGGGGGGGGGGGGGGNNGGGGACCTTAACTCCTAGAGTTAAACTGGAGTTGGAGACATGCATATATATAAACTAACCAGTTACCACCTTACAAAAAAAATAAATAAATGGCAGGCATGGATTTTCACTTCAATCTCAATCCACTACATTTCTGCCATGCATTATAGTAATTCTTAGTATTTCATCATCATCCTATCCTCAAAAATATGTTGTCCCAATTAACCAATAACCTCTGGTAAAAGCTTATTCCCTTGATCATTCACATCATCATTCTTTGTGCTACTTCAATTCTTCATAGTGCCTGCAGATCAGAAGAAAGAACTAACACTAGTCTGCTATCATGCATGCATATATAACCTTCAATTTTCAAAGTTATATTTGAGTACCCTACTCACCATTTTATTTACCCATCCATCCTCTATTCCTATGCCTAGCTAGCTAGACTTGTAAGATAGAGTTCATATATGGAACCTTAGTTTTTTATTTTTTAATGGGACCAGTTGCTGCTGCCAAAAACAAGTAAAGGGCCTCCCACAAACATATTAAAACCACCCTTACCAGTTACCACCTGCCTTACCAATATATTTACTCCATCATATCTTCTTTCTCCCAAAATGAACTTTACACTTTTATACTCCCTCCGTCCCTAAATAAACTTCTCCTTTCGTTTTTTCTTTGTCCCCAAATAAACTTCTCTTTTCTCTTAAAACCTCTTTTACCCCTTACTTTTTCATACCCTACCTATCACATCATACCTTTTTGTTAGAGTGCATCCCACATCGGAAGTCCAAGAGTAAAATAATCCGGTATATAAGCTCTTGAGTTAAACTAACTAATCGATTGGATTCAATCTTTTAATGTGGTTCAACCCAAGTGTCTTATTACCCAATCGAGTTGTCCATACCCATCCCAAATTCTATAATGGTATCAGAGCAGGTTTTGGCCCACCTCGTTTGTCAAGGTGTCCGTTTAGACGTTCATTCCTAGCGGCCCGTTTGTCTTTAGCCCAGTTGTCCGTATGGAGTATGTATCCAACGGCATGTGGCCCGTTTAACACGATTGCTCGTCTGGAAGTCCATGCCCAGCGGCTCGTGGTCCTTTAGGTGTTGGCGCTCAAAAAAAAATCAAGGGAATGGGAGTTCATTTGCAAGTGGTCAACCGGTTAGATTCAAAATGGCCCGATTGTCCACTTGAGGGGGAGTGTTAGAGTGCATCCCACATCGGAAGTCCAATAGTAAAATAATCCGGTATATAAGCTCTTGAGTTAAACTAACTAATCGATTGGATTCAATCTTTTAATGTGGTTCAACCCAAGTGTCTTATTACCCAATCGAGTTGTCCATACCCATCCCAAATTCTATCACTTTTTACTAATAATCTACATATCACATCTTACTTTTACACATCACATCAAGGGTATTTTTGGAAAGTCAACACAAAAATATCTCTCCCTTAAATCCTTAAAAAGTCAAAAACGGAAGTTCATTTAGAGACGGAGGGAGTATATTTAATGAAATTTCAAAAAAAAAGTTAAGTTGAAATTTGTTTACAAGAGATAGCAAGAAATGTTATGTTGCGAGCCAGCCGGCCGCACGATATTCCTTCACAAAGAAGGAAAATGAAATGAGGGTATAGTTTATTTTGAGACAAACAAAAAAAGAAAAGTGTAAAAATTAATGTTTAGGGTCATCTTTTGGTAGGAGGGTAGGGGATCGGAGTATATATATATATATATATATATTGGAGTTCCCACATCAGAAAAAATAAAGATGAGTACTACTAGTATATATAGAACTATAGAAGGGTGACTAATAGCCCTACCTATTAGCTTAATTAAACTTTTGGGTTAGAATAGTGGATCACGACTTTATATTTAATTAATGTAAGTGGTTAATTCTACCCGATACTTCACCCGTTTTTTTCAACCCGCCAAAAGTTTAACAATATATGTATATGGCAGGCAGGAATATATAATGCATGCATGTCTCTTCCCTTTATACACTATCTTCT